GTAAGCAGCTCTTCCCAGCCAGCCATGCCTACTTTGGTCTTTGCCACTCACCACCTCCCAGAGCGCAAAAAGAGCAAACAAGAAGGCCACAGCCCGCGCATCAAACACGCCCTATGGAAAGCAACCAAAGCAGCCCTGCTCATCTGGCTGGCCACCAAGATCTGGAAGTCCTGCTGCGCCAGAGGTAGACACAAGAAGGGCGGGACCAAGGCCGGTACTTACGCCAAGATTGACGAGGACGCCCAGCAAGGAGGCGGAGATACCTGGTACGGCTCCTCGACAGCACCGGCCGTGAGGGATACCGCGACAGCTTATGGCGCGGGCGGCAAAGGCTCCGCCTCCCCTGTCGAGGACAGGTACGAACCGTTCAGCTATCAAGGCGCAAGCTGCGTCCATGCCGCGCCGCCGGGTCCGGATATGGGACCGCCTCCCGTGTCTTCGACATCGTCGCCGCCTCCGTATAGTGGCACCACCACCATAGCCGCCACCTCTACCACGACATCAGCGGCTGACCCGTACGTAACACCGCCCACATCGACAGGCGGGGAGGCACAGAGTTACTACGCCTCCATGGGTATGTCGGGTGCATATGCCTCGTCTACTGTATCTTCGGCATACGAGCCGTCGGTGCTGTCGTTGTCGTCGGCGCCCACGCCGAGTCCGGCGTATCAAACTACTTATCACCCTCCCCTATCCCCTGAGCCGCCGTCCGCTGCGTATCCTCCTCCTCCTCTGACGTCGCCGCCTGCTGCGCAGTATCCTGTGTACCCGGCGCAGGCGACGTATGTGCCGTATACTTCGCCTGGGCCGCGGTATGGGGATTCTTGAGGAGCTGCATTTCGCTCCTGAAACATGAGCTTTGGAGAGGGAGGGGGGGGAGTATTTGGTTGGGCGTTTGGCACGGGTTGATACCGGTCTTTTGGCTTCTCTTGCAGGATTCCCAGGCTTGATGGTAATATTTTCCTTACTGGTGTTTCGGGACCGATGACCTGTGGAAGGAAAGCGTTCGATATCAGGGGAGTTCGAGATGCCCGGGAGCAATAAGAAAGTTCTTTTCGTGATTCATCACTACTTCTACATGTCTCTATATTGCTTCCAAGATTGCATGGTCTCGTAATCTCCTCGTCATCAACCACCTCTACGGCGCCAGTTTCCCAACAGGATAAGCAGCATTAATATTCCCCCTATTTGGCCTAACAACCGGCACCTCGCCATAACTCCTCGCCTCGACGCTATAATTTGCAAAAGCCGGCATCATCCTCACGGGCGCGAGCGCGTCGCTCACGTGCCGCGCGATGTTGAGCAGCTTCCCCTCGCTAAACGGCGTGCCCAGGATCTCCATCCCGATCGGCACGCCGACGGGCGCGTCCTCGCTGGGCGGGGAAAACCCGGCTGGGATCACGAGCACGGGACTCCCCGTCAGGGCGGCGAGGATGCCGTTCCGGCCCGACTGCGAGGGCGACCCGATCTTGACGACGAGGTTCCTCTGTTCCGGGTAGACGATGGCGTCGAGGTTGCCCGAGGCGAACGTCTTGCGCAGCGTCGTCGTGAGGTTGGCTATGCCGTGCTGCTTGGCGATGTAGCTCGCGTTGCTTGTGGAGGAGAAGAAGGCGGTGTTGACGTAGTTGTACTGGCTGGGGATGACGAGGAACTGTCCGCTCGTGTACAGCTCGTTGAAGGTGCGCGGGTGGTCACCCTCCAGCGCCGGGTCGGAGAGGTACGCGTCCAGCAGCTCGCGGTACTCGCAGTTCTGCACGTCGAGCCGGGCGCCGATGGCCGCCGCGTCGTAGACGGACTCGGTGATGTTGACCAGCTCGACTCCGGCGGATTGCAGGGTGGCGAGGACGTCGGCCATGACGTCTATCACAGGCGTCGTCTCGGCGGAGCCCGTGTTGTTGAAGAAGCCCTCCAGCAGGCCGATGCGGAGACCCTTCAGGGTGCCGCCGGCGAGGGCGGCGGTGTAGTCCCTGCCCCAGACTCGGGGGGGCGCGAGGGCGGTGTGGTTGTCGTTGGCGTCGTAGCCGATGCCCGCCATGACGGTCAGGGCGACGGCGAGGTCCTTTAGGTTGCGCGCCATGGCGCCGAGGGTGTCCTGGGTGTAGCTGACGGGGATGACGCCGACGCGCGTGATGAGCCCGCGCGTGGGGCGGAAGCTGAAGAGGGAGTTGGCGCTTGCGGGACTGCGGAGGCTGTTGACCGTGTCCGTGCCCGTGGCGAAGACGGCGAAGCTGGCGCCGATGGCGGCGCCCGAGCCGCCGCTCGAGCCGCCGGGGGTGCGGGTGTGGTCGTAGGGGTTGACCGTCTGCCCGCCTAGGGAGGAGACGGAGAGGCCTTCGAGGGCGATCTCGTGGAGGTTGGCTTTGCCTAGGATGATGGCACCGGCTCTTTTAAAGGCTGCCGCGGCGGGGGAGTCGGCTGTGGGCGTGGTGCCGGCCAAGCCTAGGCTGCCGCCTGTCGTGTTCATGCCGACGGCGTCGTAGTTATCCTTGAGCAGGATGGGGATGCAGAACAGAGGGGCCGTGGCGTTGCCGGCGGCCATCTGCTTGTCCATCTCGTCGGCGATGGCCAGAGCATCCGGGTTCAGGGCGAGGATGGCGTTTATAGTTGGATTGAACTCCTCAATGCGAGCAATGAAGGCCGAGACGACGGCACGGCATGTCGTCATGCCGCTGAAGAGGGCATTGTGGACGCCCTCGATGGTGGCCTCCCGGACGTCGAAGTACTCGGACGGCAGACCAATGGCGGAAGCGGTTGAAGCTGTCAGGCCGGCGAAGAGCAGGGCCTGGAGAGACAGCCGGCGGATTGAGTTGAAGGCTACCATGTTGAGAGCTTGGATAGATCTTGATCGAGAAGCTGGAGGTCGACCCGTGTGCTGGCCTGTGATGGTCTTATATATCCTTGACAGCGGCCCCCATCCCGTACTTTGCCCTCGTCAGGGCCGTCAGTCTGCAGGCTGCCCTCTGCAGAGATATCTCTATCGCTATCGGTCAGTCTGTGCCGTTAAATGGTTTAGTAGTTGCCATTCACTGTCAAAATCAAGATCAAGACCGCCGCCAAGGTGGTCGTTAACTCGCTTAGGTAAAATATAGCGTCGCCGACCTAGACCTAAACCCGGGCATTTCCTATCTGCCGTCCTTCGTCCCTCGAATGACTATTCGAATGATTCCAGCGACGATCCCGAGCCCCGAAGCACCCCTCTCGGTATTCTTCGCCCACAAGCCTTTTCCCTCACCACCGTGTACAACGGCCGGAATCGGGTTGACAAATGCCTTTGACATGGGACCTCACTTCGGATCCGGAGAGTCAAGACCACACCGTAGAACTGGCTGCCGACTCGTTATCTCTTGGCCCCCAGGTTGGTATTTGCTGCCTCGATAAGCTTGCTGCCGTTAAGGTTGTTGGGATGAAGTCATCGCCAAGCACCGCGGAGGTAAACATGCGGTGGCGGCGAAGACCCCGCCATCTTGGAGGAAAGATTTCGGTTTCTGGCAACGACATGAACAGTCAAGCAGCCTTGGGAGCCGACGGCGCCGTGAAGTGCCAGAAATTGGGAGTATGCTGGACTGGGACTGATAGGCACCGTTGCTGCCGTCTTCTGCGTCTCTTACTCGTTGGAATCAGTCATCGGCTGAGAAGTTTCAAGCGAACTCATCCAGATCGACATGAGAGAAGCATGAAGAGGTAACTGATTCTCTTGAGCAACATGGTTCTTGAGAAATACTGCTAACACTGCTCTTTCAGACAGTATCTTAAGCCGTAAAGTGGCACCTGAGAAGACCTCGTCTGGTGCTGCCGAGGGATGTATATTTCCCTTTCTATTCGATCGAATCACGGCGCCAGCATTTGGCTTGCAAGTGCAGCTTCAATCGAATGGCATTGTCTCTGGAGGGATGGGCTGGGTACCTCATCGTGTGCGTGCCGGATGGCTCTTTGAATGTGCTTTGTGATGGTGGTTACTCCGAGCTCAGGCGAGGACATGGAACTCCTGGGAGAGCTCAAGCCCCAAGTCATTCCAGGCTCTTAATCCTCAAACCGGTGCCATCGGTGAAACCCATACCCGTCGCCTCTTTCCCTCTCACATGGCTTCCCCCGGTTGTTTGCCCATTTGGCCATGTCACACGCAAACACGCAAACACGCAACACGCCATACCGGGCTCCCGTCTCCCGAGACTCAGGCCCATCAGTCACTCCATATAAGCCTCTTTGACGACTGTGGATGGTAACGAAAAATGTGAAGCCCTCGTGGGCCAGTGGTTAGGCCGCAGCTCTCCGGCATTTTCTGTCGGCTGAGAGGCTGACGACCCGGGTTCGAGTACGCGTGGGTGCTGGTGTTTATTTGAGAGAACCGAAAGCTAACAGTGTGATAGATCCCGGCGGGGGTTGGATGTAATATATTTTTTTCCTTGTTGGCTGTGGACTTTTCGTGACCTGGTTGTGTTTCTACTTAGAAGTGAAAGAAGAGAGCATTTTGGGCTCGTACTTTTGCATCAGGATGTTGGGGACGGAAGGGAGGGAGTTGGCCATTTTTGCACTTGCTCGTGCTTAAGGTATTGAAGGTAGTACGCTGGCCCCACGACCTTGTTCGTTGGTATCTCGTCTATGGTGGTCGAGGAACGGGGTTGAGGAGAAAGCAGAGACGTCGACCCCCTTTGGGCTCTCCCCTTCTGTCCGCTGTGCGAATGGCAAATCCGTCCTTCACTTTTGGCTTACTGCCTAGGCTCCTGGTGTTCGTTCGGGGTATTGAAAGGGTCATATATCTCCAGTTCTCCTGTCAAGCGTTTCTGCTGTTGAGCCGGTGGGATATCAGACGAGACGGGATGGTGCAGTAGGCATATGCTACCATATCTTAACTGTGACGTGCATACGAACCTTGCCTGTCAAAATCCACCATCACTACAGAAGGCGCCAGCCCCATCTTCCTGTGCTCTGAGCAATATGACGGACGATAAGTCCAGTCCCTAGTAATAACAAACCAAGAGCCCCGTGGCTCATTTGGCACTGGCGGCGTAGAGTAATAGAAACTCGTCGGACTCCTAATGCAATAGCATGGAGGCAAGCCGAAGATTCCGGGTGCAAGTCCCGGCGTCGTCTGTTCGAGTCCCCCTTGGGGACAGAATCTTTTTGCTTTTGCTGGGGTTTATGTTCTCGGGGCGACACGTATGCGTGCACCTTTTAGACCATCATCAGGAACATTATTCTTTTTGACGTCCTCCCTCGAGTCTTCTCTAGCTTTTGCTTCTGGGAAGATCTTTTCACATGTTGATTCCGGCGTGCATCACGTCGACCCCACGGAGCCAAGCCTTCGACTTTTGCAATACTTTGAGAACCGACCGACGTCAACCGTATTTCTATTTAGCTACCCCGACATGTCATGATACTCATAAGCAATGTACACATCCGTACATATATCTAAAGCTCCTTCTTCCCCGTGTCCACCCGCTTGACGGACCCCGCCGGCGTCTTGAGACCGAAGAAGACAAACAGGCAAACGCCAGCGATGCCCAAAGCTCCTATCCTGTACGCCACCTCCCGCCCGGCCCACCAGTACACGCTGGTGAACAGAACCGGGCCCAAACCCCGTCCAATCTGCCCCCAGCTCCTTAGGATGCCGAGCTTGCCACCTCGCTCGCCCTCGTTTGCCTCAAAGCTGCTCAGCGCATTCAAGCCCATCACGACCGTCGCCGAGGTGATGGCCAGGAAAGTTGCAGCGAGATACAGCCCTCCCGAACTGGAGATGCTTCCGAGCAGGATGAACGCGACCAAGCACGAGGCAACTCCCAGTCGCACTGAAGTGAGTGGAGGCAGTCGGCGGGTGGCGCCACCTTGGAGGACGGATGCGACAAGACCGACATACCCGAGGAGCCTCCCGTTGTTGCCAGATGTGTACGAGAAGAGATCGAAAGTCATGAAGGGCAGAGAGAATTCCATGCCGGAGAAGAAGAGGAGGAAGCTGAAGTGGACAAAGTTGAGCAGGAAATGCGAGTTCGTCCTTGTCACCTGCTTGGTCTTGGGGCCTTGCCCGCTTGCTGCGGCGGCCTTCTCGGCCTCGGTCCTTGTGAGCGCTGGGAGCGTCTCGGGAAGGGCGAAGTAAAGGTATACTGTCTCTGTGACGATCAGTAGGAGCGACACCCCGGCAGCGGTTGCAAATGGGTTGGCTGCTACAGTGCTGATGGTGCTTAGCCATGCGCCGAGGGCTGGACCGAAGGTGAAGGCGATCGAGAAGCACGCTCCTATGAGTGCCATAGTCGAGCCGCGGCTGGTCTCATCTGATATATCTGTTGCGATGGCCGTCGCAAGCTGGACGTTGCCCTCTGACAAGCCGCCAATCACACGGGACGCCAGAAACGTTCTGAAGTCGGTAGCTCCCACCCAGAGGAGGACAGACAGGACGTTACCTGCCATGCTCGCTAGAAGGGCGGTTCTCCGCCCATAGTGGTCGGAAAGATGGCCGATCACAGGCGATGCGATGGCCTGGAGGAGGGAGAAGAGACTCCCGAGCGCCCCGCCCAGCAGAACGATGTCATATCTAGACTCGATGGGTCGAGCGAAGGAGGCTTTGTATGTGTTGAGGTACTTGAGGATGCTCGACAGCAGGGTTGCGGGCTGGTCTGCAGTGGAGTCATTCAGGGGCGCTTCGATGTTGCGGTAGAACTCGAGGAGCTTCGGGAAGAGCGGGAGGATGAAGGTAAAGGATATCTGGGCGCAAATCATCAGTAAGTTGCCTATATGTTAACTGGTAAGTTACTGGGTTGACACATACCAAATCCAGCAAGAGAGATATGAATATGACTTTTAGCACCCTGGACCTGGTCGCGGCATCGACTGGTGCCGCCATGCTTGCAAATCCGGGCTTTCGAATATGGGGGAACAACAGTAATATATGAACAAGTCAGAGCCTGGACATATGTAACGAGAAAAGAGAAATGCAAAAGAATGAACCAAAAGAAAGTTCAGCAGTCGATCATTTGTAAACCACTGAGGCCAGCAAGACATCCGATCCAAGCTTGTCTGGTTGTTCCAGATATCGAGCTGCAAGGTACGGCTGAACAGGGACACCTTCCCTAGCGCCTTGATAAATGCATATCTGGGGATCTGATCGTCATTATGAAGTAAGCGAAGCGCTAGCAAACTTGGCGTGGGTCCACACAAACCGCTAACCGCTAAACTCACGTCGCGACAAGGCTGAGCACCAACAACATTGCAAACACCTCTTCGGCTGCCATTTGTCTGATGTCCCAACTTGAACGCGAGTCGCAACGAATCAGCTTAACCCATATCCGAGCCTGCTTGTCAGCAACTAACATACTTCACCCCAGCTTTACCTTGCTTTTGGGGTTCCAAGTCCATCCATTGGGTTCGCCGTAGTACCTAGCCAATATGGCGCCAGGCGTAGGTCATCTCGTCCATCCTTCTGTCAAACGCGCTGCTGATCAGACTGTTTCCCCATGTGTAGTACCGTACTGCCACGACTACTAGACGTGGAAATCGCAGCGGATATGCCGAGCTTGATGATTATGAGGGTGAGATCGAACCCAAACGCCCCTATGCTCTCTTTGTCCAACCTTCTTTCCCTTCGACGCACTGAGTCATTCATTGATGTCAGAGCTTGTAAATTAATGGATGCCCGATCAGGTCTGCCTGTACGGCAATGGCGACTCCAGGAGGTTGACATAGCCCCTCCCCCGGTTCAAACGACGGCCCAGAAAAACGACCGATGGAGCATCGAGCTACCCTGTGGCATGCCCAAGGACTACCATCTTCTTCCTGCGCATTCCCAAGACCTACTTCGCGCCGCTCGATCTGGTGCGCTGTACAAACGGAAAGCACCGCCAGAAGAGGAGGATTCCATTGACGTTTTGGATAAGGGTCTCGCAACAGATGCCGATAAGGCCGGCGACAAGAAGACCAGTGCTGGGAAGGCCGACGCCGGAATAAAAGTCAAGGTGTGGAAGCGTGTCGCCCGCGAAACCGAGGTACCCTCTCACTCGTATCTCGCCAAACGCCACAAGAACACGATCACGCTGCCGTCGAAGGCTTCCGCGAAACAGTTCTCGGGACCGACTGTTACTAGAGTTACGGTTCGTCGTATAGACGCTGCTGGAAACGCGTATGAGCGGACGATTACGATCAACGACGACGAACAGATGAATCATCTCGACGGCGAGATAGTGTCCACGACCGTCATCGCCGCTCCGGTGGCTGCCGATCCCGTAGCACAGCAGCAACCGACGCCCACACGGAAACGGCCTCCTCCGCCCCCTCATAAGAAGAAGCATAAGGGCCCAGGTCGTGGTCGGAAGAAGAAGCTTGGTTTCGTTTCGCTGCCGCTCCCCGCGAAGCCAGGTGCTTCCGCAAATCCTGCAGATGCTGCAGGCGGTGTTACCGAGCCTAAGACGGAGGTTTCTGCTGGTGCAGATGTAAGGCCGAATCCTAGCACAAGCACTTGTCATGACTGACTAACGATATACAGGGTATAAAGCGGGAGGAGTCTACAGGCACTCCAGATGTCGAGATGGGCGAGAACTCTGCTGTCGCGTCTGATGACGAAGAGGGTGACGATGACGAAGGCGAGGAGGCCGAGGAGGGTGACGGCAACGAAGGGCAGGCCGATGATACCATGACTGATGCAACCGAGCAAGGAACTCGAGTAGACCGCCAAGATCAGGAGATGGGAGACGCCGAGGAGTCGGCAGATGTCATTCGACCGAGTTCCATCGAGGAGCCAGCAGAATCCGGCGATGGTACCGAAGCAGAAACCGAAACCTACAATGCGCAGACGTCTGTTCCGCTTGGCACTCCTCACCTTGGAGTTGGCCATCTCTTATCTCCCAAACAGCACGAAGGAAGTCCCCTCAAGAACGTCGTTCTGCAATCACCTACCGAACCAAAAAGCATGGATTTCCCAAGTATATCGAGTGTACAGGAAACATCCACGGTTATCTCCGATGCCCAGCCAGCCCCAGGAGCATCGATGACAGTGACGGAAACGGTTCAGCAGAAAACCGAAACCGCAGCTGCCGGCTTAGCGATGGTCGAGATGTCCGCGCAAACTACAACAATCGTGACGGAGGCTCCCGCAACTGACTCCACAGAGGGCAAGAGCTCTCTTCCCGATCTTCGCAGCCCGCCGGCAACATCAGCGTCAAAGGATGAGGTGCTCGAAGTCACTCATGAAACAACAGGCGACAAGCAAGCCAAGACACAGATGACAGCGCCTTCAGCCGCTCAACAATCATACCAAGCCTCCTCTACATCCAGCCTGCTTCCCAGTCTCCGAGAACCACCAAAGAGCTCGGCTCCTCCACCAACGGCTGCCCCGCCACCACCCATGATGCAGAGCCGTCCAGTCCCGGAGGACGACGGGCTGGACCTGCTAGGCGGACTGGAGAGGGAGCTGGACCGCCAGTCTCGGACGAACACGAACACGCCTGCTGAGCAGGCTGCGCAGCCTCCTGCTACGGGGGATAAGGCACCGTTGGAAGAGGCGAAGGCTCCCGACCACGTTTAGGCTAATGATGTGTCGGACGACTTCGACTTCTTCCTCGAGCAGGCTGGTCAGGCTTCTTGCAGGGGATACAAGGTTCCATGGAGGGAAAACGACTCCGACTCAGTGTAGGACAATCTCATGGGCGAAGCCGGGATGCTCCTCGACATATATTTCTCCTGTGTTGGATGGGCAACAGATAGGCCTGGAAAAAGGACGTAATTCAATGCTGAGCGTTGGTTCTGCGAGTCCCTCCTCAGGAGTGTGTGTATGTATATGAATGCGGGAAGGAGAGCAGTATGGAATGTGGAACATTGTGGAGCGGTCGTATCGCGTTTGCGACTTTTGGGTTGGGGTCGCTGTGTTCCAGAGGCGTTTCTATTTTACTAGAGGCGCATGTTAGCCTTCCTAGAGAGCAGCAGGCATTTTCGCACGATTCATTGCTACATTGTCTTTCTCTAACCTTCCCTGTCCCCTTCTTGAGTTCCATTTCGTACTCCCTATTCCCCACAGGCGGCTCGCCGTATCTTCCCCTTTTACCAAAGCATTGTGTGTGTTGCCCAGTGAGCGTATGCGAATGGAGTTGAACTCCGAGGTTGGGCTACCC